ATAAGAGACATATCTAAAATATGTAAAGACTTATAAACTGAAAACAGTAAACATAAGGGAAAAGATATACCACATAAAACTATTCAAAAGAAAGCTGCATAGCTATATCACTATCAGACAAAATCAATTTTAGGCTAAGAGCATTTCTAATAAGTTAAAGCACTTTTATATGAGTGGACTAAATACAAATAAAATGCAAAGATTGTTAGAATGGAAATATAACAGTCCAACTATGTGTTGTTTATAAAAACAACTGGAATATAACACAAATTGAAAAGAAAATGCTGGAAAGAACATAACATGCAAGTTAACTGAAAGAAATCTGTGATGGCTATAGTAGACAAAGCCAACTTTAAGGCTAGAAGTGTTAGTGGAAACTAAGAGGAATATTATTTAATGAGCTTGTATGTACCTAATAAATTACTCTCAAAATACATAAAACAATTCTGATAGAACTAAAGGAGAAATAAATATATTCATAGTCATAGTTGGAGTTTTCATTTTAACCACATCTGTTTTTTAGTACCTATAGAACAAATAGAAAAATAGAAATATGAAAGATTTTAACATGACTAACAATTTAATTGACATGCATAGAACACTGTGCCTCAAAATTGTAAATGTACATGGGATATTTATCAAATTTGATCATATGTTATGCCTCAAAGCAAGTTTCAAAATTTTAAAATATTGAAGTCATATTGAGAGTTCTCTGACTACAGTGGAATTCAGCTACATATTCAGAGAATCTGGGTAACTTTTCCTTTATCAAGGACTGGAAACTCCCTTCAAGGTAGTAAAGTGTAGGGCTTATTGTGTTTCCCGTTTCTTTGTTGTTTGTTGCCTAAACCAGTGTTTTGAATATTAATGTTTCATACATTTTGTTTGTTTCTCAGGTGGTAGGTCCCAGTTGTTCTATTTTGTCTATGTACAAATATTTTAAATCATTTTTCTTCAGTGTATTCCTGGATGTATATTTTTTAAAAAAACTATTTTTTAGTTGTAAATGGATCTTTTATTTTATTTATTCATTTATATGCAGTGCTGATGATTGAACCCACGGCCTCACACATGCCAGGCTAGTGCTCTACCACTGAGCCACAACTCCAGCCCTGGGTGTACATTTTAATCAGATTTCTTTTATTCATATAAACTTGTCTCCCTTTCTATGTCTTTTCCCCATCTTTCCTACCTCATTTTAGGTGATTCCAGGTCATCAACTCTGAGGATTTTTCCCTTAGAAGTACCAATCATTTTTAATCAGTCCTCCTACATTCATCTCATGATTAACGTTAAGTATTTGAGAATAGAAAGGAAGTTTGATGAGTATGTTAGTGTTTTTAAAGGAGGTGAAATATGTTTTCTTATCTATTAATTAGAGTTGATGAGTCCCAACTATATTCTCAATAGTAAGTTGAGGATTTTTTAAATGTTATTGTATTTTTATACCTTTATTTATTTTTATGTGGTGCTGAGAATCAAACCCAGTGCCTTGCTAGGCAAGTGCTCTACCACTGAACTACAACCTCAGTCCCTACTAGGCTTGAGTTCTAAAGAGAAAGTACAATATTGTTTCTGAACAGTTTATATTTTAGCAGAATATAAATAGAACAACAGCTAGATAGAACAACAGCTCATGAAATATCAAGAAAAATGTTAAACTCTTTTATTTTAAAGTACACTAGACATTTAGAAATGAGAAAGAAAATTAGATCTGAGTAGTTAAGGAATGGTTCTTCTAAAACATTGGGGCTAAACAGAGCTTTTGAAAATGTATACACTTAAAAATGAAAATAAGTTACAAGATGTAATGAAAAAGATGTAACTTATAATAACTAAGTAAATTACACAGGCATTAAGACTTTGTATGAGGATAACTATAAAAACTCCCAAAGGTACAAAGATAGACATGAGCAAATGTAAAGAGATAATTTTGTTCTGGGTAGGAAGGCAATATCCTTAGGATGTCAGTTTTTCTAAAATAATTTATTAGTTTGAAAGTATTATAATATTTTTCCTCTATAATAAATAATCCAGACATATTGCAAAGAAAGTGAAAAGCAGAAAGGGTGGCTAGCCTTTTAAGCCTTTAAAATGGAAATAATGTGATATTGGTACAACAATGGATAGACAAATTGAAGAGAATAGAAAATACAGAGACCAACCCAAGTGCATATGGAAATTTAGTGTTATGATAAAGGGAAGACCCTAATGTCAGTGGAGAAAATATGATATTTTTAAATATGTGGTGTTTATGATACATAAAAAAATAGAAACGCAAAAGATTTTAACCAATTGGGAAAATTGGAATAACCAATTGGGAAAATATAGGTTTGGATCCATTTTTCATATTGTATACCACAATGTCCATATAGAAAATAATAACATATTAAGTACTAGAATAAAACATAGGTAAATTACTTATGATCTATATATGGAGAAAAGTTTACTGTGACTCAATCCAGAAGCAAAAAGGAAAAACATAGGAGAGTATGCTGCATGTGTGTTTGTGTATGTGTTTCTATGTAACTTTGTATATGTTTACATAAACTTTTTGAGGACCAGCATGACACTACAAGTAGAAAATTCCATATTATGAAAGTGTTTCATGCTCAGAATTACTTTCGGGTATATAAAGTGTATATATTAAATATAAATGAATTTCATATTTAGACTTGGTTTCCATTTCCAATATATTTCCAAATATTATATATTTACAAATATTCCAAAATCTAATAGACAAACAAACCCCAAATCCTGAATTCCTAAATACTTACAGTACCAAGCATTTCAGATGAGGAATATTCAATCTGTATGTGTGTATATGTATACAACCAATATACACACTGAATGCAAACTCAGTATGTTTGTGTATAAGTATGTAGTGTGGTTGTATACATACACACCTTTGCATAGCAGAAAAACACAATAAAGTAAAAACTGAAAATTTTTTTGCCACTTATATGGTGGATAGTGAGTTAATCTCTGAAATATATAAAGAACTTCTAAAACGAGAAGAAAAAGACCAAAAACTTTATAAAGATGAGCAAGACATATGAACCGAGAATTCATAGAAACAAATATAAACTAGCTTTATATGAAAAGATGCCCACATCACTTATAATAAGATAGATGTAAATTAAAACAACACAAAATGATCCCTTCCTTAACATATTGGCAGAAGTCCAGCATTCGGACAACATATTTTGTTGGTGACAGAAACAGGTGTTCTCATACATGGGGAATACAAAATGATTCAGTTTCACAGGGAAATGTAGCAATACAAGTAAAATTACACATATATACTCTTTGACCTGGTGTGTGTGTGTGTATAATATATATTATACACACACACACACACACACACATATGTATCTTACCTGGGGTGTGTGTGTGTGTGTGTGTGTGTGTGTGTATACACACACACACGTATATATGATCTTATAGGTATATATTGAGAAATATGTATGTATAGAGATACTGAGGCGTTGTTTCTTTTTAAAAAAATTTTTTAGTTGTAGGCAGACACAATATCTTTATTTTATTTATTGATTTATTTTTATGTGGTGCTGAGGATCAAACCCAGTGCCACATCCATGCTAGGCATGTGCTCTACCACTGAGCTACAACCCCAGCCCCTGTGGCATTGTTTCTAATAGCAAAAGATGAAACAGTCCACATTTTTGTCTCAATTTCAACAAAGCAACTATTAAAGGATTGAAATCATAAAAGGATTTTTAAGATATACTTAATATATATGTGTGTTTAAGATATACTTTTAATTCTAAGGATTCAAATAACATAAATTATATAGTTATTTGTTTATTGGCCCCAGTTATAGGGATTTTGAATTACAAAAAAATGAGTAGTTGCTACTGTTAAATTTTTGATATGTGATAATGCCATTATGGTGTTTTATTTATTTATTTATATATATATATATATATATATATATATATATATATATATATATGCTTATAACTATATATGGTGAAATATTTCTTGAAATATTTTTAAGAAATGTATATATTTAAAACAAGTACATACCTTTTAGAAATATTTGACGTTACAAATACTGTTTGTTTTAATGCTTAAAGTGATCCATCTTCAGCTGGTGAGAGCCTCTTGAAGTTAACCTCTGAATCCTTCTGCTACATTTCTTAGATTACTAATTAAGTACTTATGGATGAAATTATATGATTGGAATTTATTTCAAAGGACGTTACCAGGTAAGTTGGGGGGCAGAGATGAAATAAATATTTTCATGATTTGGTAATTGTTTTATTTGGGTGATTTGAGTTTTGTTATCCTGTATTTTTTGCATATGTTTAAAATTTCTCACTAAAAAAACGTTTGGAGTAAGTAGGCATAAATTAGGAGAATGTATTTGAAACAAAGACCTTGAAACTAAGGTGGGAAATTGGATGTGAAATCCTTATACAATTTTATGTTCCCAGTACATATAAAACTGATTCCTTTTATTTGCACTATATTTATGGTGTGTGTGTGTGTGAGAGTGAGAGAGAGAGAGAGTGTGTGTGTTTAAGATATACTTTTAATTCTAAGGATTCAAATAACATAAATTATAATTTGTTTATTGGCCCCAGTTATAGGGATTTTGAATTACAAAAAAATGGATTTGGGGAAAGTGAATTTTTTTCATACTTTTTAATGACATAGCGCTATGTTTTCTTTCAAATTTTTCTTGAATATAGTTTTAGGCATATCACATATAAGAGAAAATTGAGAATGGAATTTTTCTTTGTCAGATTTTAATATAGACGTTGTTCATTTAATAATTTTTAAGCATACCATTTTAATAATTTTAAAGACTCCTAGATCATATAAAATTATATATGGGAACAAAAAAATCTATCATCCTTGTAATATTTTTACTTTGAAGCCCTCATTATGTCTTATAAAAATAGATATTATGATTTATTTAATGATATCTAATGGCATTAATCATGATAATTTTAACTTGCTTTCTATTCTACCACCAGGTTCATATTAAAATTGGAAGTTTCTATCTTTTGAGGGACATTGGAAATTGAATGTAATGGCAGCAGAATTTATAAAGAGTTGCTGTAGAGGATGTTTCCATGGTGAAACAGAAAAGCACAAGTGTGAGTTTTATTTTGTTTTGATTTCAGTAAACATTTATTTAGTGCCTTATTTATGGCATTGTGGAGAATGAGACAAATTGGGAGTGTTTCCTAACTTTGTGGGGGAAGCAAAATGAGAAGGCACAGTAGGAAGTATTCCAGAACCCCAGGTATCCTGAAACATACTGGGGAGAGAGGTGGATTCAACCTAGGAGATAATAACCTGGACATCACCATAAAGAAGATGACATTTGCCACAGAAGCCTGAACAGCATTTTACAAGCTGAGCAGAAGTAAGAGGAAGTAAGAGAATGGGACAGTTGAACACTGATGGATGGATGGAATGATGTAGGCAAAGGCAGGGAGAGAAGGTATTTGGGGGACAACATGCTCTGATAAATGTTTCAGTATAAATAAAAAAAATTTCTGATTTATGAATAGTACATTTAAAATGCTTTATATGAATGAATGATCCATGGGTGAAATACCCATAACTTTATCATGACCCACATTTATCAAGGACCGCTGGAGATTTCCCTTTCAAATGCATGGTTTCCTTATCTCTTCAGGGTTCTGATTGGGACTTTATTTTTCTCTGATTCTTTCTGATATTTTTTAGTCTAGGGAAGAGCTTCCTAGTACCCTAGTATATTTGGGTATGAAGGTGTATTAGTCTATCTTCTGGTGCCCATAACACTTGGTACTATAGACGGGGGAAGTTTTAACAAAAAGAGATTTATTTTGGCTCATGGTTCTGGAAGACCAACGTCAAGGGGCTGCATCTGGTGATGGCCTTCTTGCTGGCAGAATTGAAGATGGTGCAGGGTCTCACATAGCAAGAGACAGGAATTGAACATGTGTATCGTGATCTCCCTTGTATTTTATTTTATTTTTTGGTGAAGGTGCCAGGGATTGAACTTAGGGATGCTTTACCACTGAGCCATATCCCCAGCCCTATTTTGTATTTTATTTAGAGACAGGATCTCACTGAGTTGCTCAGTGCCTCACTTTTGCAGAGACTGGCTTTGAAATCCAGATCCTCCTGCCTCAGCCTCTCAAGCTGCTGGAATTATAGATATGCGCCACTGCACCTGGCTCCCTTTCCCTTTTAAAAGCCATTAACATTCAGTCATGGGGATTCTACTTGATGACCTTATCTAATCCTTATTACCTCCCAAAGGCCACAGTTCTAAACACATAGGTGGATTAAGTTTCCACCTTCTTAATATATCACAGTGGGGATTAAACTTCAACACATAAATCCTTGGGAGATATATTTAAACAATATCCAATACGTAATAGAGGGCTTCTTTTTTACATGAAATCATTACATAAGTTCCTACACTACAGTGTTGTACTTTCATTTATTCTGCAAATAATACAAAATATAAAGATGAACTCTAGTGTTGCTTACTTGCTTACCTGCCTATCTTAGTCTTTCAGTTTAGAAATCAAAATGGATAAAATGAGTCATACAAGCTAGGACCGGGAGAGTTCTATAATGATATATCTAGAGTCAGCATGCATTTTATTTGTTTTGGTGGAGATCTGTGTAGACTTGGATACCTTTGGCTTCTCAATATTGCTTTATATATTTGAAACTCACGTTAACCAGTAGCATTAACAACAAAATTGCTTTGTTGAAGAGTAAAGAGTCTATAAAATGGGAGAAAATCTTTGCAAGCTACTGCTCTGACAGAGGATTAATATTTAGAATATATACAAAACTGAGACACTGAACACTAAAAAACAAACAACACAATCAAAATACAGGCAAATGAACTGAGCAGATACTTTTCAAAAGAAGTGTGAATGGCCAGTAATATGAAAAAATGTTCATCATCTTTAGCAAATCAAATGCAAATCAAAACTACATTAAGGTTCTCTTTCACCCTAGTCAGAATGGTTGTCATCAAGAATACAAAAAGCAATAAATTGCAGGTGAGGAGGTGGGAAATGAACCCTTATACACTATTGGTGGGAATGTAAATTAGTACAGCTACTATGGAAATCAGTATGGAGAGGTTCCTCAAGAAATTAAAAATAAACCAAATATATGATCTAGCTAAACCATTTTTGGGTATAAATCCAAAGGAATTAGGTCAGCATACCCATGTTTATCATGGCACAATTCAAAATAGCCAAATCATGGAATCAGCCTAGGTCCTTATATATACACAATGGAATATTATTCAGCCATAAATAAGAATGAAATATTATTTGCAGGAAAATGGGGGGAACTGTAGGTCATAAAGTTAATTGAAAAAAGTCAGACAGGTGTCATATTTTTTTTCTAATGTGGAATCTAGGGTTAGGGAAAGACATGAAACTAATCAGAAAGAGGAAGGGGATGGGATAAGGAGAGGGGAGATAATAGAGGGTAATGGGGATGTGGGGGAGGGAGTGAATATGATCAAAGTATGCTATTTTTTTCTTTTTATTTGTTGCAAATAGTTACACATGACAGTAGAAAGCATTTTGACACATCATACATAAATGGAGTATAACTTATTCTTCTACACCAGTTGTGCAATCATACATGCACATAGAGTCATAATGTCCAATTCATTCTTTCCTACTCTCATACCTGCTCCCCTCCCTTCACTCCCTTCTGTCTAATTGAAAGTACCCCTTTTCTTGTCTAGCTGCCCCCACCCTACTCCATCCCTGCCCCTCTTATTGTGAGTTAGCATCTGTATGTCAGAGAAAATATTCCACCTTTGGTTCTTTGGGATTGGCTTATTTCACTTAGCATGATATTCTCCAGCTCCCTCCATTTACCTGCAAAGCTCATAATTTCATTCTTATTTAAGGGTGAGTAATATTCCATTCTGTACATATACCACATTTTCTTTATCCATTCATCCATTTTAAGGCATCTAGGTTGGTTCCATAATTTAACTATTGTGAATTGAGCTGCTATAAACATTGATGTGCCTGCATCACTGTAGTATGCTGAATTTGAATCCTTTGGGTATAGACAAAGGAGTGGGATAACTGGGTCAAAGGTGGTTCCATTCCAGGTTTTCTGAGGAATCTCCATACCGCTTTCCTTAGTGGCTACACCAATTTGCAGTCCCACCAGCAATGTATGAATGTACCTTTTCCCCTACATCCTCACCAAAATTTATTGTTGCTTGTATTCTTGAAAATTGTCATTCTGACTTGAGTGAGATGAAATCTTAGATTTGATTTGCATTTCTCTAATTGCTACAGATGATGAACATTTTTTCATATGTTTGTTGATCAATTGCATTTCTTCTTCTGTAAAGTGTCTGTTCAGTTCCTTATCCCGTTTATTGATTGGGTTATTTGGGGTTTTTTGGTGTTAGGTTTTTTGAGTTCTTTATATATCCTGGAGATTAATTCTCTATCTGAGGTGCATGTGGTAAAGATTTTCTCCCATTCTTAGGCTCTTCCTTCACATTATTGATTGTTTCCTTTGCTGTGAAGAAGCTTTTTGGTTTGCATCCATCTCATTTATTGATTCTTGATTTTAAAGTATGTTATTTGCATGTATAAATATGCCACAATGAAACCCATTTTTATTTTTTTATTTATTTAATTTTTAATTGATTTTTTAAATAAATGACAGCAGAATGCATTACAATTCATATTACACATATAGAGCACAATTTTTTATACCTTTGATTGTATGTAAAGTATGTTCACATCAATTTATGTCTTCATATGTGTACTTTGGATAATGATGCCCATTACATTCCACCATCATTGCTAACCCACTGCCCCTTCCCTTCCCCTCCCATGAAACCCATTTTTAAATGACTAGATTTTCACTTGAAAGAGTTATGAAATCAACTACAAAATAAACTTATTTTTCATCAATGAACTTTATTAGGAATGAATCTTTAAAAATTACTTTTAACCATTATGATGTGATAATGTACTTTAGCAATAGTATATTAATTACTAGACTTTGGTCAAAATTAACATAGATTCTGGAAATGCTTATAGGACCCAAGAGTAGTTTATGTGTCAGAAATTTCTAGGTTTAGATTATTATATGTAATATGATTCATATTTGTGACTTTTTTTTCTACCTTTTTTCTTTTATATACAGTTTCTGTGGAAAGAGACAGTAAAGCAGCAGTCTCAAATAGTCAGACTACCACTATCTGTATACCTCCGTTGACTTCTGTTTCTGTAAAGCCTCAGGTTGGCTGTACTGAGGATTATTTGCTTTCCAAAATACCCTCTCATGGCAAAGAAGTACCATTTGTGGTGCCTAAGTTCAAGTTGTCTTATATTCAGCCCAGGGCACAAGGAACTCCTTCTCATCTGGAAGAACTTGAAGGTAAACAATAAAATAGCAGGATTTAAAACTTAACATACAGCATTTTAAATACTGTCATTGATGTTATTTTACTCTTTTATCTTTAATACAAAATTTATATTAAAATTATATATTTTGTTTTATGTGTTTTGCTCTTTCTGTAGAAGAACTGAATGTATAGTGTTTTTGAAGGGTCCCAGTATGAAATATGATCACATGTAGTGCATTTGTATATAGATTTGGTGTTTTAAAACAAGAATAATATACATCTCAGTAATCGTTCACATATCTAGAAAGAAAAAATAAAGGAATTATTCTGTATTTGATCAGTAAACATAAAAACAAGTAGTTTCTCATCTACCACTTTCTAAAAATTGGTACAATGAGAAATAAGGAAACAGCCAGGTAGTCCTTGTTCCTTCCCTTGTTTTTTCACCAGTCTGTCTCCCAGACTAAGTAGCTACCTGCATAAGATAGATTCATTGGCTGATATTTGGCTTATGTTGTAGAGGCTAGGAACTAATGAAGATAGGATGAAACAATATGTAACTTTTAAAAATAATTTGTATTATTCCACTGAAACTCCACCAGTGACTTTTCCCCCTCAAATTTTTATTAGAAAAATTTTAAACTTACAGAAAAGTTGGAAGAACTTAACAGTGAGTACCTACCTGTGTGTTTACCACATAAATTCTCATATTAGCATTTTCAGTACTTGTTATTATCACATGTCTATTCACCTACCTGGTCTTCTACACATTATTAATCCCCCCCGCTTTTTTTTTTTTTTTTTTTTGGTGAGTGATGGGGAATGCATTTTAGAGTAAATTGAAGACATCAATATGTTTCCCTCTAAATACTCAAAAAAGTTTAGTAATCTGTTTAAAATTTCTTCTTTTGACATAAATCTTATAGACTGTGAGCTGCCCAAGTGTATATGTGCTGAATTTTATGTATGTTTATTGAATATTGAAGAGTATGTACAACAGTATATTCCAAATTCCTGTCACTATTTTTTTTCTGCCCTATCCTCTTTCCATCTTCTGAGATTCCAGTTACACACATTTTGAGCTTTGATAATGTTCTATGGCTCTCTGAGACTGTTCATTTTTTCTAATCATATTTTTTTCCTTTCTCTTCTTTAGATTGGGTAATGGTGTTCTCTTTTCAAGTTCACAGTCTTTTACTTCTGTCATCGCCATTCTGCTGTTCAGCCTATCTAGTGAATGTTTTATTTGAGGTGTGCATTTTCAATTCTAGAATTTATATTTGGTTCTTTTTCTTATTTTTTATGTGTCTCCCACAACTTTCTATTTTTATGTTACTTCAAGCCTATTTTATGTCTTTAAGCTTTAAAATCTTTGCTAATTTTAACATCATCAAGATTTGGATTCTGTGACTTGCCTTTTTTCTTGAGAATGAGTTAACATTTTCCAGTTTCTTTGTATATGGAATAATTTTGAATTATATTCTGGACATTGAATGTTATGTTGTAGATACTCTAGATTTAGTTACATTAATTTGAGAAATTCTCTTTCCCTCCTTTCCCGCCCCTTTTTTTCCTTCCTTTGTCCCTCCCTTCCATCAGATATGTAACTCGGTTGAATGTAGACTGCAAATTCTGTCTTGGCAGCAACCTTGTATGGTGATTCATGGATCAGTCAGATATTTGAGCAGACTTCCTTTATAAAATTTGGAACTCTCTCCTTTCCAGGATTCCCACCTTTCTTTCCAGCAGCTCTGGTTGCCTGGAATTCTGCTTTCTGCTTTTTCTGTGCATTTGCTGTTGGAGTTTTACATATCCCGCGTGGTGTCACTTTTGGCCTATACTCAGGCTTAAAGTTATCAAAACAGATAACTCACTTTAGGCCCTTACCTTTTTTTCAAGAGTCAACTGGTGTCCAGAATCTGCACTACTGTTCTTTATTCTTCAGTGCCTTTAGGGATTTTGTTTTGTCTAGATAATTTGTTGTTATCTATAGGAGAGTTGGGTCTGGTAGGAGTAGTTTTTGTTTTTTTGTTTTTGGAAAGAAGGAAAGATGAACCCAGTGCATATCTAGTATCTCTCAAAAATAGTTTTTCTACTATCATGTATTACTAAAAGAACAAATTTTTAAAAAAGTTCTGGCTCACAGGATATCCTGCTCAATAGATCTTATTGCTTTATTTCATACTTGTTAACAACATTAGGATCAGACTGTGCAAGTAATCTCATAATCATTTCTTCACATTATACATGGTGAACATGTTTTCTTATTCAGTGTTTTTATTTATTTATTTTTGGTACCAGGAATTGGACTCAGAAGCGCTTTATCACTGAGCCACATCCCCAACCCTTTTTGATAATTTATTTAGAGACACGGTTTTGCTTTATTCCTCAGGACCTCACTAAGTTACTAAGGCTGACTTTGAACTCATAATCCTCCTACTTCAACCTCCGGAGATGCTGGGATTATAGGCATGTACCTCCATGCCTGGCTTATCCATTGCTTTTTAATGACTCCATAGTATTTCATCATATGGGTGTACCATGATTGTTTAATGAATTCTGTATTCTGAGACACACAAGGTATTTTATGTACTATTTTTATAATCAGGAAAAAAGTAAGAAATAGCTACCTAGAAATATGTTATGGCTTTTCTTTGTTTTTCTCATTGCACTCACTAGAAAACAAATTGCATTTTGACTTGAATGAGTGAAAAATTAACTCTTAAATTGTAGGTTCATTGAGGATGTAGTAAAACTATCTAATTTTTATATATTGAAGAGAAAATTACTCTTTAAAATTTTTTTTAATTGTAGATGAACACAATTATTTTAGTTATTTATTTTTATGTGGTGTGAGGATTGAACCCAGTGCCTCATGTATCCTAGGCAAGTGCTGTACCACTGAGGCACAACCACAGCCCAGAAAATTACTTTATTTACTTAGATTCAAGAAGTATTCTTGGAACCTAAGTCTTATGTGTTGTAGGTGTGCATGTGTGCATGTGCAAGTGATGGCCTGAGACGGAGGACAAAGTTTTGAGAAGGTAGACCCCTATCAATAGCAACTAAAATTATAATTCAAGTATATTTGAAGTTTTTTTTTGTATATGGAATAATTTCTGGTCTGGCTTATTTTCCTTCAAGTGACAGGATTTCATTCTTGATAATAGGTGTGATTTATAGCTATACCTTACTGCCTTCATAAAAAAATTACTATTAACATTGTGCTGTTCTTGTTTTTTCACATATCTACCTACCTAGCCATTAAGAATATGCATTTTAAATTTAAAGAATTTTAAATAGGCTTTTGAGAAGGATGAGCAATCATGTAACTTTACATTTAGTTTTATACTTTAGTAAATTGAGAGAAATTCTACACTATCTCAGGGCAAAATTGAATTTCTCTAATGAGAAAAATGAAATGAGAATACTGTATTCTTTTTTAAGTGTAGCTTATTAAGCTAGTAAATCATCTTGGTGCTACTACTGTAGGATTTCTTTTATTTGAAGGATTTCTTCCTAATGATCAGGCTACTTGGGTTACTATAAAGATTTGTAATATTGTTTGTGTGCTAAATGATCTCAGTGTCTGTTTATAAGATATATAGGTAATGAATCTGACATCACAATTCATTAGGCTTCTCTCCCATGTGCTAGATATACTTGGTTGTAACAGATATTTGAACCAAGATGAGGATAAAATCTTACCTCATATTCCATATTTTATTTTTCTCTTCCTAACTCTATGCAAAATCACTTATTTTATATTTAGCTAAATTCAGAAAATACCAGTTTCCGTGTGTTTCATTTTAAGTGGAACAAAAAGAATTAAAAGATGACAGTAAATTAAACCTTTGAAAAACTTCATTTTATGTCTGTATTTTATTCCTAAAATGATTATTAACCTTAAGAAATTTTTAAATTGTGAGATATCATACACACATAGGCTAATGCACAAAACAGAAACACATAGTATAGTAAGTTATTACAAAGCAAAACATCTGCAGTCAGCACAAGGTAAATAGAGTATCACTAGCAACCCAAAAGCCTCCCTGTTCCCTGCCTGACAGTCACCCAGGGTATCAGAGTTGCATTTTTATGAACACATATTAATCATACAAATTAATGGGTTTTGCTGTGACATTTTCATGCATACCTAGAGAGAAGCCTAATGAATTACTGCAAGGATTACATTCACCCTCTGGTGTGTCCTCTCTCACCCTGCCCTTTCTCCCTACTCCCTCAGACTCTCTTACCAGCTCCTCATAGTTACTTCTCTACTTTCTGGTCATCTTTTTATAATTTAATATTATGTTTTGAGTTTCCACATGTAAACATGTAATATTTGCCTTTCTGGTCTGGCTTATTTTCCTTCAAGTGACAGGATTTCATTCTTTTTATGCCTTAATAATTACTGTGTGTATGTACCACATTTTCTTTATACATTTGTCTGTTGATGGTCCGTAGACTGATTCCATATATTGGCTGTTGTGAATAGTGCCTCAGTAAACATGGGTATGCAGGTGTCTTTTGTATGCTGACTTCATTTCCTTCAGATATATACCTAGGAGTAGGATAGTTGGATTATCTGGTGATTTTATTTTTAGTTTTTACACAATCATTATAATTTTCTAGTTTTTCTTCTTAACAATTAAGCACGTATCCCTTAAATAGTGGTTTAATTTTTTTCTGTGTTCTGACCTTTATTTAAACAAAATGATATTAGTATATATTCTTTTGTTTATGTTTTTCATTCAACATTGTGAGATTCTTTCACGTTGTTAGTTTTAATTTGTTTTCATATCTGTATGTAAATGTACATTACAATTTATTCTAAATAGCATAATATATGGTATTTTTTTTGTATAGAATATTAGAAGGTATTTTTATGTAGCAGATATATACTACTTTTTATCTGTTTTACTGTTATTTACATTTGAGGTTCTTTTTCAATTTTTGGCTAGTAGAGATAATGATATTTACAAATTTTCTTGTACATGTCTCTTGGTGTACACATATAGAAATTTCTGTTGTATATATGTCTACAATGACATTATTGGGTCATTGAATATAAATATCTTCAGCTTTAGTAGTAACTGCCAAACTGTTATTCACAGTGATTGGATCAATTTACATTCACACCAGCAAAGTACAGTTGTTTACATTGCTTCTTGTCAGTGTTTGCTCTTGGTAATATTTTTAGTTTCAGCTATACTGTTGTGTGGTAATATTTCAATGGGGTTTAAACTCATATTTCTTTCATTATTAATGAGGTTGTTGACCTCTTCTGTTGTTGCCTGTTTAAGTCATAAGCCAATTTATATTGAGGTCTGTCTATCCTTTTTGTACTGATTTATAGGAGTTCCTCATATGTTCTGGATATAAGCTCTTGCCAGTTATGTCGTCTCCCACTCTGTGGGTTACCTTTGTATTCTCTTAGTCTTTTGACAGATGGAAATTTTGACTTTTAGTATAGCTGAATACATTTATGGTTAATATGTTCTGTGTTCCATTTAAGTAGTATTTCCCTGTCCTAAGTTTGTGAAAAAATTACAAATTAACAAGTACAGAAGCTTTACTTGCTTGCCCTTGGCACTTAATTTAGATCTACAAGCCCCAGGGAATTAATTTTTGTCAATATATTTGGTTGAAAGAAGGCTTCTAATTTTTTCCATATCAATATTGAATTGTCTTAATACTTTAGAGAAAAGACCATCCTTTCCCCACTACTCTGCAGGGCTACCTCAGTTATAAATCAAGTGTATACAAAATATGAGTATCTCTTTCAGGACCTTTTATTCTGTTTCACTGATCTATTTTTCTGTCACTGTGCCAATATTCTATTCTTTTTTTTTTTTAAGAGAGAGTGTGTGAGAGAGAGAGAGAAAGAGAATTTTTTAATATTTATTTGTTTTTAGTTTTTGGCGGGCACAACATCTTTGTTTGTATGTGGTGCTGAGGATTGAACTCGGGCTGCACGCATGCCAGGCGAGTGCGCTACCGCTTGAGCCACATCCCCAGCCCCTCTATTCTTTTTTTTAATATTTATTTTTTAGTTGTAGTTGGACACAATACCTTTATTTTATCTGTTTATTTTTAGGTAGTGCTAAGGATTGAACCCAGGGCCTTGCATGTGCTAGGCGAACGCTTTACCTCTGACCCACAACCCCAGCCCCCAATATTCTATTATTACAACCCCATAGAGAAAATCTTTTTTTTTCTTAAAGATTATCGTTTTTGCTTATTCATAGTCCTACTGTTTCCATATAAATATTTTTATTCATCTTCTTGTTATTTGATTTCTAACTTAATTGCATTGTGGTAAGAAAACATACTTTATGTGAGTTCAGTCCTTTCAAATTTAAGAGCTGTAAGTTTATCTCAGCATGTAGTCAAGTTTTATAAATGTTCTGTATCTTCTTGAAGAGCGTGTATCTCCAAGATTTTTTTTTTCCATTTCAAAGATGTTCTATATGTTAGAAGAAAAATAAAAAGAAACTCAGATCACAAAATACAGAATTGTCTATAGGTCAAAGAGAAAATGTCAGAAATTTGCTAAACTGTCTTAAGAGCAAGATTCCTGACTATTCCCTTGCACAATAGTTCATGTAGTTAGAACTTCATAAATGTGTGCTCATTTTTTAAAGATATCAAAGGCATGTAATTTAGTATTACTTGAAATATAATATTTTTTTCCTTTGTCTTGAGTGTACCATCTGTTGGACCAAGGAGACGATGTTGTAAAACATTAGAAATGCTTTTTTCAGGATCTGCCAGAGCATCTTTTGGAGATCGAAAGGTGGAACTTTCCAGTTCGGCTCAGCATGGGCCCAGCTATGATGTGTACAACCCTTTCTATATGTATCAGCACTTTTCACCTGATTTGAGTCGGCGTTTTCCTCCTCATTCAGAAGCAACAAGACTGTATGGATCAGGTATGAAAAGTCTTTTGTGCTTTTATTCTGTGTGTCTCCTTAGCAAATTTAGCAATCAAATTAAATCTGAGACCTGGATGATATGATTCTTATTATTAAAAATAATTTTTAAATAAGAGAAAAGCAGGCTTCACAAGTGTTATGATAAACAGCATGATTTCTCTCTGGTGTTATAACTAATTTAAAAACTGAAAGATTGATGTATTGTGTCTATTGGTAGTTACAAATTTTAATTAATTTTTCCTTTTTGAAAGTTATTTTTAGATTATTTTTATTAATTTATGTACCTTCTATCCAAACTCTACAACAGATATTTACAAGTTTTTTCTTTTGTGTTCTAGTCAGAATGACAAGTTTAAAAATGTATGATGTAATTAGAAATATAAACAAAGAGAATAGAAATACTTAAATAACTATAAAATTTTTATAGTTTCATATTTGAAACTATTCCAATTATAGACTACTATGTGTGTTTCTAATTCATAAATCCCCATTGTTTTGTAGGATGATGATATATCTAGCTCTCTCTGCCACTAGATTCAGGGTGGGGTACTGAAAAAAAGAAAGAAAGATTTACTGAAGGGACTATTCCCCACCGTACTAGAATATAGCATAGGGTTGGTTTACCGAGTTCCTTTCTTCAAGGCCCTTTCAGGTTACGAAGGACACTAAAAAGACAGGCGCACATAAGATTCAGAATTGATTTTTTTTTAAATGTGATAAGTGCTCATTAAATAGTTGAAGTACATATAACACAAAGTACTTACATCCTATCCTCTTAGATAGTCTTCTCAGATTGAGGATTGGGAAACGTGAACAAAAATCCATTTTGATATGGATATGAAAATGTTTTGTTTGATTTCTATTTCAAACAAAATAAAATAATGAAAAATAAATGTTTTAGATCTCATCAAAAGGCTCATTTCTTATATAGATCTGCACATAATTTTCACAAAGTATTTCTATAGAGATTTAGTTTATAATAATTAAGTAGAATTCTAGTGTTTCATTTTCCTTGTTATAAAAATAAGCACTTCTTTCTTTTCCCTGTGTAGTTTGTGACCTAAGGACCAGCAAACTTCCTGGTTCCCCTGGCCTAAGCAAATCTATGTTTGATCTTACAAGTTCATCTCAGAGATTCATCCAGGTAAAGTAGTTATATAATTTTTTATATGTGATAATTATTTCAAATTAAAAATTCAGAAATACATGAATCAACATTAGAAATAACATGCTTTTTGTGGATATAGCTATTCTAATATTTGGACAATAAATACATTTCCCATATGCATTACTTTGGGAAGTTCCCAGTTGACTAATGAAAGACAGTATTTTTCTTTTGTTCTTTTTTTGTGTGAATTTTCTCTCAGTTGGTATGCACTTAAGGAATCTTGAGGCAGTTGGAATTTTAAATGGTATAATTAAAATACTTATCAACTTTCCTTATTGAAAGTTTTTATTAAAAATTAACATTCCTGGGCTGGGGATGTGGTTCAAGCAGTAGCGCGCTCGCCTGGCATGTGTGCGGCCCGGGTTCGATCCTCAGCACCACATACAAACAAAGATGTTGTGTCCGCCGAAAACTAAAAAATAAATATTAAAAATTAAAAAAAATTAACATTCCTATAAAGGTGGAGAACTTTATTCACTTATATTAATACAGTATCCTATTTTTGAGTTACTTTGTTTTTGTATTTTGTGGTACTGAGGATTAAACCTAGGGTCTTATGCATGCTAGGCAGTCACTTTACCACTGAGCTATATCTTTGGCCCTTTTTAAAATTTTATTTTGAAGCAGGTTCTTGCTAGATTGTCCAGGTCAGCCTCAAACTTGCAATTCTCCTGGTAGCTGAAATTACGAGCATGTATGGCTAAAGCCAGGGAGAATTTTTTTGATACTTTGATGACTATTTAAAATTAGAAGATAGAGATAAGCAAAGTAGCATGACAAATTATCTGTATTCCTGTAAATGAAAGTAAAATCTGTGTAAATGTTTTTATATACACTTGTGGGCTCGTGTGTGTGTGTGTGTGTGTGTGTACATATATACACACATATATACTTATGGTTTATACAATGGAAATGTATTCTAAATCATCCTTAGTAATTCTCAGTCAATTTCTTGCAGAATTAATTCTTTATAGCAACAATTCTTGACCATGCATCAGAATTATTTGGAGAGCTTGTTAAAATACAGATTGCCATCCCTTGCTGCCCAGAATTTTTGATTCAGCAGCCCTAAGGTGGAGCCTGAGTTTTTATTTCTACTAGAGAGACCATGGTTTAATATGCTGTTTTACAGGTTTTTAGGTAACTGGGCATTTCCAAACATACTCTAATTGTCATTAATGTTTCTGTATGGAATTTAAGAAATAATCTCTTTCTCTTTATTATAAAACCAAACCAAAACCAGCAGAGACATTATAGTATATTTTTTCATAAGATGTTTAAAATTTTCCTGATAACACACAGAGAAAACTTATTTTTCTCTTTAATTGTCTAAAAGTGGGAAATTCTGACTAGTAACATTGTCAAAATGATTAGCATGCAGTTTGATGGGGCAGGTTTTGGGGCATAAGTATCAGAATCCTTACAGTTTGATATGCAATTTCTGACTAAAAGATTTTATTTGTAGAGACATGATTCGTTGTCTAGTGTACCCAGTAGTACATCTTCAAGAAAAAATTCTCAGGGGAGTAACAGAAGCCTGGGTAAGGAATATAATATTACATTTTTATACTCATTAGTAATTTGAAAGTGAACATGATCAGTAAAAAAAATTCTACATGATTATATCTATATTGACAGTATTATCTGTATATGGATACTCAGATCAGATGGTTATTTTTCAGTGTTCAGGCATGAATGAATCAGTTTTTAAAAAGTGAAACTATTAAACATCTTTGTACATTTGTTTTAAAGTAGATGAATGAAGAAAGTTCCAGAAGCATACCGTACTAAAGTCATATAAACATTATTTGAAATAGTTTGTTTAAGCTTTAACTTAAATTTTCCACACTGCAATTTGGGTAAAATTTTATATCTTGTAGTTATATGGTTTATTTCACCTCTTGTACTTTAATAAAACATAGAAGTATGATTTTTGCCTTACTAAATTGGAAACCTTAAAAAATAATTGTTGGCATTTTTCAGTTGTGCTCATAAAATTGAATTTAAAAGATTACATGAAATTTTGAAACATCTTTGTCTTTTGTTTACAATTCAGATACGATTACTCTCTCAGGAGATGAAAGAGATTTTGGCAGATTGAATGTGAAATTGTTTTATAATTCTTCAGTGGAGCAGATCTGGATCACAGTTTTACAGGTAAATTAGTATAGTTAATACCAACTTTTATTTCAAAATTAAATATTTCGACACTTATCTGTTGTTGCCCTCTTCTGGGGAAAGAGGTAATAGTTAGTCTTTGGAATTTGGGGTTTTTTTTTTTTTTTTTTTTTTTTAATTTTTTATTGTTGGCTTTTCAAAACATTACATAGTTCTTGATATATCATATTTCACAATTTGATTCAAGTGGGTTATGAGCTCCCATTTTTACCCCATATACAGATTGCAGAATCACATCAGTTACACATCCATTGATTTACATATTGCCATACTAGTGTCTGTTGTATTCTGCTGCCTTTCCTATCCTCTACGATCCCCCCTCCCCTCCCCTCCCCTCCCCTCTTCTCTCTCTGCCCCCTCTACTGACATTCGTTTGTCCCCCTTGTATTATTTTTCCCCTTCCCCTCACTTCCTCTTGTATGTACTTTTGTATAACTCTGAGGGTCTCCTTCCATTTCCATGCATTTTCCCTTCTCTCTCCCTTTCCCTCCCACCTCTCAGGAATTTGGGGTTCTATAGTGTTTTTTCAGGAATAGTATTTGATAAAGCATTTAAGAAGCAGGTATGGTGATGCATACCTGTAATTCAGTGACTTTGAGAGGATGAAGCAGGAGGATCACAAATTTGAGGTCTGTCCCAAAATAAAAAACAAAAAGGGTTGGGGATGAAGCTCAGTGGTAGAGTACCCAGGGTTCAATTTCCAGTACCAAAAGAAAGCATTTAAGAAAATAAAAATGTGTGTGATGAGTATATGTATTTTTTATGACTTTATTTATTTATGTGGTGCTAAGTATCGAACCCATTGCCTCCTGTGTTAGACAAGCGCTCTCCCACTGAGCCACAACCCCAGCCCTGTTTGTATGTTTTCAACTGCAAGAAGAAAACTGGTATATCTATATTTAATATCAAAATTATTTTAATGTGGATGAAACATGAAGTCTCAATATATACTGAAGTTTATTTAAAAATCTTGAAAATCATTATCCAAAGCCATTAACTCAACAAATACATCAAATATTTGTATTGTCAGAGTCCTTTGTAAAATTCCAACTATACTTTTAATTTTTTAGTGCAGAGATTTAAGTTGGCCTTCTAGTTATGGTGATACTCCCACTATTTCTGTAAAGGGAATACTAACGTTGCCCAAACCAGTGCATTTCAAGTCATCAGCAAAGGAAGCTTCTAATGTAAGTGACTGTTTATGTTTGAATTTCCTTTCTGTTTTTCTAATATTTATCACTTTTATCCATGTAGAGAATAAGAAAGTGTTTTACTTTTGGGAAACTAAAAATTATGTGTCCTTGCTTTTTAAAGATAATTTTTAGTCTCAAAATGTTTTGATATTTTATTGTCTAATATTAAGATTCATTTAAAAAGAAAATTTTGATCACTAAAATATATAAATTAACAGTATCTAAAATATATATTTAAAAGGAAAATAAATGTGTATATTTTCATCTTTTCTTTTCCCTAACTGAGCTTTGAAAAATAATTGCACAATTGCAATTAATCACTTTTAAATACTTCCAGTTACTATAAATGGAGTAGTTTATGTTCCTGGCTTTTATAAATTCTTATTTCACATTAATTTAAATACATGCTCATTATATTTTTTGACATAGAAAACTTAGGGTTTTATATGCAAATGAAAAGAACATACCATTTAAAAATAAGAATTCAAATGACTAATAAGCAAAACATTACTGTTGCTATCAATCATAGAAATACAGATTTAAATTATATATTGATCTTTCTTTTTTTCTTATTAAAATAAGGAAATATTTTACAAGTATGCTACAACATACAATTTTCTAGAAATGATTTTGACAGTACACATCAAAACCTTATATATTTCTAGTAATTCTACTGGAATCTACTCCTTGGAAGTAATCTGAAATCCAAACAAAACTGTTTTATAAAATAGTCTTGGTGGTTTTTTTCATAGTGAAAAGTTAAAAATAATCTCAAAGCATCATAGAGGAATGATCAAAAAACTTGATGGTATACCCATTTAATTAATTTCTTCAGGCTGCTGTAAAAAAAAAAAAAAGTACCACAAACTGGATGGCTTTAAAACAATAAGAAACTTGGGACTAAGGATAGAGCTCAGTGATGGAGTGCTTGTATAGCATGTGTAAGGCTCTGGGTTCAACCCTTAGCATGGGTGGGGAGGGGGGAATAGAAGTCCAAAATCAAGGTGTCAGCAATATTGGTTCCTTTTCTGAGGGAGAATTTTCTCCACTCTTCCTCCCAGATTCTGCTATGGCCAACAATCCTTGGCTTTCCTTATTTCTTGGCTTTGCCTCCATCTTCATATGGTGTTCTCTCTGTTTCTGTGTTTTCACATGGCCACGTACTTACAAAGATACCACTCATACTGGATTGGGGTCTACCCTATGCCCATATTACCTTATTTTAACTTTATGAATCATGTCTGCAATGAGATGTTTGCAAATGATGTCACATTCTGAGGTACTGGGAGTTAGAATTTCAACATATCTTTTTTGGGGATACAATACAATTCAACCCAGAACACTATGTGATAGAATACTAGGCAGCTGTGAAAAATTATGGATAGGAAGAGTTTTTAAGGACAGGGAAAAATGTCCTAAATTATTGAAAAAGGCAGTGATCAAAAATTGGTGTGTGTATGTATGTCACGATCTCACTTTATGAAAATATGCATCATAGAAAGTCTAGATGGAAATAAATCTTAACTCTGGGTATAATTCTATCACTCAAGGAAGAATACTTTCTGAATTAACAATTTTACTTTTTAAAAAATAAACTAAATTAATTTAGGAAAAGTTAGAGGGAAAAATGTTTGCATATTGGAACCTACCTACATAGGATCTTTCATTTTTAACATTTATTTTTATACAGCAGATTTTTGGGAGATCCCTATTGTGGCAAAATGTGGAAACTATGAAGTAAATCTGCACAGACTTGCTTAATTTGTAAACTTGTTTAACATTTTATGTGCAATGTATTGTCAGTGTGGTCCTGTGGCTTGAAAGTCTTAAAGAAAAAGTTCAGTAGTGGGAAAATTCTAAAAACATGATTCTGACTGTGCAGATGTAAGTGATTATAGTACGGGTGAAAATTTGGCCAAATTTTTTTTAGTGCAGAGTATCAAAAATATTTATGTTAGTTGCCCAGATATCTTGCCTTTTCAAAAGTATACACTAAAGATTGAAAAAAGGAAGTGTATGGAAAAGAACTGTCTAGTGTTTAGTCTCCTTTAAGAAATAATTCAAATATGTCCATGTGATAATTCAAGATTCTGGGCACTGAACATGCTCACATGTGAGATTCTTGAACTACTCTAACTGTTGAAGAATTGTGGTAAATAGTAGGAAAGATGTCCTAGATCCAAAGATTAAAAAACAGTTTAATTTGTTTTTTCTTTATGGTGCTGGGGATCGAACCCAGGGCCTTGTGCATTCAAAGCAAGCACCTTACCAACTGAGCTATATCCCCAGCCCCTACAATTTAATTTTTAAAAAGGGAAAAAGCTATATTTTGGTGAGCTCAATGTTAATATTGACCTGAGTTCCTAGGTAATTAAAAAGATGATTTGTGAAGTTGAGGAAGGTAATATCCAGAATAAACTCCGGAAAAACAAGTTATGGCTCTTCTCATTTTCATTTACATTAAAAAAATTTTTCAATTATGTTGTTATATTATGTCATATATGAATATGTAACAATAAATCCCATCAGTATGTACAAATATAATGCACCAATAAAGTAGGAAAAATATTTTTACTGTTATAAAAAAAATTAAATGTAGTTTTTCTAGATATAAAGGTAAAATATCATTTTGTAATAGTATATCAAACTTTTTTCAACCCTTTATATATTTTATTGTTTTTTAAGGTTATTGAATTTTTGGAAACTTTTGTATTTGCTATTAAACTACAAAATCTACAAACTGTAAGACTTGTATTCAAGATTCAAACCCAAACTCCCAGGAAGAAAACCATTGGAGAATGTTCTGTGTCGCTTAGAACTCTCAGCACACAGGAAATGGATTACTCTTTGGATATAATACCACCTTCAAAATTTTCTGTAAGTGATAATAATATGCAGTGTTAAAAATATTTTGTACTTTTAGAATGGCTTAGTGGATAGTGTTTTGTTAGTGGAGGATAACTTGAATACTTTATTAATTATGGAATCAGGAAAAGTCTCAAGAAGTAATATCGTTTCAAAAATTGATGAAAGGTCAACATAACTGTTTCTCTATTTTAAAATAACGTTGGATTACCTTCTCCTAGCACAATATTTATTAATGTTTCATCAGGTATAGTAATCCTGAAACATGAAAAACTTTAATACATTTTAAAAAGTTTTTCTAGTTGCTGATGACTTGGGAAAAACAACAAAGGATCATAAGGTCAAAGTCCAAATTCAATCTGAGATTGCCCTGAAATAGATTAGGGAAGTTGTTTTAATCCTGGGTAAACTGTATATCTGTTCATAAATAGGTTAGAATGGAAGTTGGGTTTTGATTTTTTGGTGTTTAGAATGGAACCCAGGACCTCATGCATGATGAGCACCTACTGTACCACTGAGCTACATTCCCAGCCCAGATTTTTTTTTTTTTTTTTCAAGCTTGCTTACCTATAGTGCTTGATTGATTTCTGAGACCTGATGTTTACTTCTCTCAAGTGGCCAGCTGAACATTGTCTTTATTTAGAGATTCCTAATAATTTAATTATGTAGTTTCTGTGTCAGGATAGAGAACAGTCCTGAGTTTTATAAGGTCAAATCTATAGGTGATTTTAAACTTATTTAGGACTTATATTTTACCTACTTCCAAAAATATTTAAGATTACTTGAAGTGCTTTTTAACCCTTTCTGTACATTATAATTACCTGGCAAATTTAAGTCAATAAAATTTCTTGAGGGTTGGAACAGAAGCATTTGTAGTTTTCAAAAGTTCCCCAAGTGATTCTAATGTGTAGCCTTGCAAATCACCAAATTGTAGGGGAAATTAGAAATTAAAACATAAGAAACAAAGGTTACTGTAATTAATCAGAAGAATTGAAATTTCTGATATCTTTTTCCCTGTTAATTTTAATCCCCAATGTTTTCTTTATGGCATTTATTATGTCATATCATTATTTAAGTTACTTAATTTTAAATAAAACAAAACAAGTCTCAAGTTTCTGTTTTAACTAAGATCCTACCATATTGTTGGTACTGTATATTTGTATGTAGGCAGGTATGAAAAAATAAATGATGAATGAAAGCATACCAAATGAGATTACTGTCCTTTTCTGTTAAAACATAGCAGCTGTGACAGGAGTTTGTCACTGGCAGAGTTGACAATAGCTTATTAGACAGTAATCTGCAACCATCTTTTACAGAAGATACAAAAACACTAATCAAATTATTCATACATTAAAACTCTAAAGACAGAATACATCAAAAGATAAGTCAGTGAAGGTATTTTCTGGGAAACTGAGATATTATATGCCTGGAGAATTTGAATGAATGATTATGACTGGATTTCTAATAAATTATATTTCATATGTTAGAAGTCTTATAAACACTTGGTTTCTACTGGATGTCACGTGCTAGGTATATAAAGATTGATGTCTTGAAATAAGAGCATTTGTGTTATTCAGGACCAATGAATTTATGTTACCAAGTACTGATGTTTCATATTATTGGCTAAGATAAGAATAGTATTGTGCTTTGTTTTATGTTCTGAAGAGGAAAATAGATATTGTAATTATGCCATTGAAAGAACCAGACTTGTCTACCCACTATCCACATTGATAACTGTTGCACCATGAATAGCATTGCTTTGTATAAAGCTAATGTTTTTTTTTCAGGAGAGTTCCTGACCTTGGCCGATACTAATGTATTTACTTGACCTCAAATTTCAGTATTGAATAAGATAGAAGAGATAAAATTTGCCTGAAGAAGTAGTTGACCTTTATAGAGATTTACCTTATGGCTGACTCGTTGTTAAGTAATCTACTGTTCATACCGCTCTTCTGAGCCTGTGCACTCCTTTTCCTATGTGGAGATCAGTGAAGCCATTTGCACAGCCAGTAAATAGTCAAGGAATCCAGATTTGATTCCAGAGCTAACCCTCTGAACTCTTCCATGTATGTTCCCTTTGAAGACATTTTCAAACATCATCAGTTTATGATTCTTCCTGATTATGGTTGGCATCTCATTTTTTTAATGGTTCCGGGAAGGCTAATAAATTTTTCTTTAAAAATTGGTTCATTATTCAGGAGCAAATATCATACCTTCTACAGTTTTATGCTTATTAAATATAGTCAGTACACACCAACTAATTGATTTGTATTTTAATTTTTGGTTATTATGAGATTGAAAATTATTTTGAATATTTTCTCATGATCTGAATTAATGTCCTGGAATATAAATTGAATTTGTGAGATAACCTTGGCAAGTAGGAAATAGCAAACCCATTGCCAAATGCTACTGTTTATGAGAATTAACTCTACAATTGTGTAACAATAAGAGAAGTTTTGCCACCTTTAGCTGTTTTTATAAGTGTTACTTAATTATGGGTGCAAAACCATAATGAAAAAAGAATTGATGAAAAAAGTTTAATCATGGTTATCTTTGTGTTTTGTAAACAATAAATGATTATAGTTTTTTAATGTATTAATTTAAATGCCAAGGGCAGAAACAACTTTTTTTTTAATCAACAAAGACTTTATTTTATATATGGCTATCCAGTTAGTTATGCAAAAAGAGTTGTTAATCAGTTCTCACTTAGAGTAAACATGAAAAGCAATAAATTCGCTTATTTAAAAAGTCAGCATTGTTGCCAGATTGAACAGTTTTATTCTCATTTTAGAGTTTTTCAAGAGGAAATTAACCTGAACTCAAGTTTCTACTTTTTAAACAATTCACTTTTTACTCTCTATTTCTTGATTTCTCATGGCATGACAGTTATAAAACACAGCATCATGTTTTAAGAAAAGACCCAAGCTTGAGGTGATGTCATGTACGTAGAAAGGTTTTTTTGTTCCCCCCTCAATGAGTGATTAAGGAATACTGGACAGTTACCAAATATGTAAACCTTTTTGTCAAGTATCATTCAACTGTTCTGTAACTTTACTGGAATCACTTCTAGTAAGTCTGTAAATGTTGTATTCTTATTCCCATTCTTGTTCTTTTCAATACATGAACAGTGATCTTTTTGTGTCTGGACAACTTCATGTTTCTCTTTTACTTTTCACTCCAAGTACCTTGGAATCCAGATGAGTAGGATTTGTGTTGTATTTCACAGACAAATCACCAGCTTGCTTTTCCTGTTGGTAAGCAGTACTGACGAGCATATTTTAATCCACCTCCCCACCTGTTTTCATCTTAAAGTTTGCCTCAGTTTTTTTTTTTAAAAAACCTTTTCCTTATTATATACGGCCTTATCACTGATTAGCTTCCTTCTTGCCAGCTTCCTTTGGCTTGTTTCCATTCAGGATAGATATGCAACTCTGGATCCATAAATCTGTTTATTACATCAATCCTTTGTCTTCTGATTTTTATAGCATCTACTCTGAATTCTAAAATTAGGAAACTCAATTGACTACATTTAATTATTTTAAAAGTGCATTCCTTCCTGTTGGTTTATTTCACTGGCAGTTTTTCTGTCAATATTGCCTAGGAATTTAATTTGTTTTTAAGTTGAATTGTCTTTTAGTATTACTGATATTGAAATCCAGTATGTAGGTATACAGACTTTCAGAATTGATGCAAATGAATGCCTTATATTTACAGAATCTATGACATTTATCTTCTTATCTTATAACTAATGGCTTTGAGCGTCAATAGAAAGCAAAGCTTTCAAAAACTGTAACTATTTTTGAAATATTTCCAAACTTTATTATTGAATACCGAATGATACTTTTTGATATACAGGTTTGCCATGCAGAACTTGAATTGGGGACTTGTTTTCAAGCAGTAAATAGCAGGATTCAGCTTCAAATTCTTGAGGCACAGTATCTTCCAAGCTCATCAACACCTCTGACTTTAAGTAAGTGTATCAGTGTTCAAAGTACATCAAATGCAGAGAGATTACAATTCAATAAGAATGAAGAGACCAGTAGAGTGATGTCTTTCCTTTGCTGGATGCACAATCAGGACTTGTGATACTTTCGTTGGCTAGGCCTAGTAACTTGGCCACCCCTAGAACTGAAGGTTTGAGGTCAGCCCTATCTCCCAGGCTAAGAGGAAGGTAGAATTGATCCTTTTTAGCATGAAAGAAGGGAATCTGGGAGCAGGCAAAGCAATAAATGTCCACTGTAACAATGAATGTCCACTGTAGAAAGGATAAAAATAAATGAAACTGAACATTCAATTCAAGAAGCTACAAAAACAAAAAATTCAAGGAAAGAAGTAAGCTGAGGTTGAAGTTATAAAATGTAGAGACAACAGCAGATAACACAATCAATAAAACTAAACTTTTTTTCTTTGAAAGGACCATTAAAATAGGCAAATCTGTAGCAGGTTGGATAAAGCAGAAAAATAGACAAAACATGAATGATATTCTGAATCAAGAAAAGGATTTTTAAATTCAGAAGAGATTTGGTTATATATAAGGCAATACCAGGTGTAACAATACTAATTCATTTGTACATCTATATGAAATAAATGTCTTTCTAAGAAATTTACTCAAGAGGAAGAAATCTAAAAAGAATAGCCATGAAAAGGGAGAGAACTCTCTCTCATAAAAAGCACTAAGCTAAGATTATTTTACTGACAGATTTTACCAAACTTTCAAGGAACATCTGATTCCTTTTTTATATAAGCTATTCTAAAGCAAGAAAAAAAGATGGAAAAATAATTTTGTTAGCATATTCTTGATATCAAAACAGATTAGATAGCACATACATAAAATTAACTCTACACTAACATCACCTATGTAGATAGATAGAAAAATCCTAAAATAAAAGTAAGCAAATAGAGGGAAGGGAAGAATAGAAGTTTATTGAATTAGACAAAGAGGAATGAAAGGAAGGGGGAGGTGGGAATAGGAAAGACAGTAGAATGAATCAGACATAACTTTCCTATGTTCATACATGAATACATGATCAGTGTAACCCCACATCACATATAACCACAAGAATAGAATCCTAATTAGAATAAGCTATATTCCATATATGTATAATATGTCAAAATATACTCTGCTGTCATGTGTATCTAAAAAGAACAAATTTTTTAAAAAGTAAGCAAATAAAGTCCATCTTGGAATAGTGAGTCATAAGGACAACAGTGGAAATTTACAAATACAATATATTACATTAACAGGTGAACTCCCTAGATTAAAACTAATGATCTGTATTTTATAAATTTAATGCTCAGGTCTCTTGGTCCTCACTCTGAGACTCCCTTCCTGGGAGTTCCCTCATCCGCTTCTTGTTACCCTGCAATCCCAGCTCTATTACCTGATAACATGGCACATTCTGCTCGAGCCGTAAGCATGCTGTGCCAGTCAGACTAGGGCATATGCTGAGGTGAAAAGCTATATATAATAAACCTGAATTTTAGTGCAGTTCCCATCTTTGAAAAGTTTCTTTCCTTCAGTTTTTTCCTGATTTTAATCAATGTTTATTTTTAATATTTCCCCAAAATTTGTAATTATAATCTATGGGAAGCTTATTAGTTCATAAAAACTATTTTACCATTGTTGGAAGCTCTACATCTCAAACTTATTTAAAGAATAGATTGTTTTCTAGTGGGCATATGCTTTTGGAGTCTCAAGCAAAAAAATTTATCTATATAAAATTGTGAAATACATACCTCATCTGTCCAAAGAGTTGGTACCTCTCTTTTGTGTAATCCTTTTCAGTGTATACACCTTTGCTCCTCATTGTTATTTATGCCTATGATTCTACTTGTAAATGTCATTCAGAATGAAGATTAAATTTGTTTGAAGTTATAGTAGTTACTTGTAAAATGCAGTAAAGATTATAAAGTTACCAGAGATGTTTTTTTTTATCAAATAGTAGTAGCTCATTGAACATTTTTAAAATAGCTTATTTATATATTTACATTAAACATAATATATATCTTTATGTAGTATTTAATTAGAATTTGTTTCGTAGGTTTTTTTGTGAAGGTGGGAATGTTTAGCTCAGGAGAGTTGATTTATAAGAAGAAAACACGCTTACTGAAGGCCTCCAATGGAAGAGTAAAGTGGGGAGAGACTATGATTTTTCCACTTATACAGAATGAAAAGGAAATTGTTTTTCTCATTAAGCTTTATAGTCGAAGCTCTGTAAGAAGAAAACACTTTGTGGGCCAGGTTAGTAGGGGGATTTTATCTTTAATTTCTTCTGTGTATTTTTCTATGCATTTAAAGAGTGGTTAACAAAAGGAATATGGGATTAAACTAAAGTTAAATAGTGTAAGATTTCTTAGTATAAATTACAATTCAGTGTTGACACAAAAATCAAATCTCATCAGACTTATTTCTTTAATATAAGTAGTTGGAATTTCTGAGCAATCAGGCTTATCTTTAAGCCTTTTTCTCAGCTTTTCAACTTTAAAAACTAAGATCAGTTTTTCGGTATTACTGACTCATTCCTTATGGAAGAAGACACTAAGTGTTTAAATTGAATTGGTTAAAACTTTGAATATCAAATTTACCTCATTTTGTTTCAGCTTCAATTTAATATTTAACAAGAGAACTTCTTAATTATATTAGATTTGAATTCCTAGAAAACAATTTTAATGATGGTGGAGATATTTAGATAGTCAATACTAGTGTCTGGATTGTCTATTTTAAAATTCTTAGTAATCTGTATAGGACAATATAATACTGGCTTACTTGCCAACAATACAGGAACTTGTTTCCATTTATATTTTTTTTCCTTATTCTGAATGGATTAATGGTAGTTTTCTTTTTTTTTACAATTATTTGAGCCACATTTAAATTACTGGTCTAAAAGCTTCCACTTCATAGTAAACTGTTATTAGTAGTGTATGTGTAGTCCTCAAATTATAAATATGATTTTTTAAAGATTGATATTAACTTTTTGACTCACTTTTTTATTTAATTTACCTAAAATGTTTATTTAAATGTAGTTTTGTTTCTGCATTTATTTGGAAAATAGCTTGAATTTGAAAATTTGTATAACTATATACTTTTGATAGCTGTGAGTCCTATGAAGTCAATTTAGTTAAAAGTTTTTCTGGGGCTGGGGATGTGGCTCAAGCGGTAGCATGCTCACCTGGCATGCGCGAGGCGCTGGGTTCGATCCTCAGCACCACATAAAAATAAAAAATAAAGATGTTGTGTCCACCGAAAACTAAAAAATAAATATTAAAAAAATCCTCTCTCTCTCTCTCTTAAAAAAAAAAAAAAGTTTTTCTGTATCATCAAACCTTAGCTATCATGTATGAATGGAATAGGATTCCGGAATGTTTTTGCTGGTTGTCTGCCTCCAACGGACTCTTGAGTGGCATTAGGTGTCACCATAATGGGATAAACAAATGCAGACTCAAGTTCTCCCACTCCTGTTTACCAACCAAAGCACTCTGATGTTACCTGTTTTATATGTTGGGGTTCTTTGTAAGATATTATTTGAAGGAAATTTTTTTCAGACCAAGAAAGAAAAGGAAAAATATTTGAAAATCAGTGAGTGATCTGCTCCAATCTCTTTACTCAGAGAAGTTAATTCCAAGGTTATAGCATTTGTTAGTGCTAGAGCCACGGTACAGATTTTAGATTCCTTGTCCACCTTGTCTCCATGATATAGCCATCGTGGTGTCTTAAATTTACATAATACTATATAACTTTCCCAGGTTTATTCACATACATAACCTAAACCCCATAAGCGATAGACACTATGAAATTACTCTGGATCAAGAATGACTATTTATTAAATTTCAATTAAGTTTACAATTGTATTGAATAAAAAAGGTTTTTAAAAATACACATTCCTTATTAATTGAAATCATGATTAGCCTCAGTTTAATTCATCTTTATAAAGTTGTTTTTGAGTGATCAGGATCAATTTTAAGTTGAGCTCCTAGATTAATTGAATAAGAAAGGAAAGTTGGAACTATTTGCGGGGAAATGATTTTACAAAACTCTCACCTTGAATTTTTTTTTAAATATTTATTTTTTAGTTGTAGTTGGACACAATACGTTTATTTATTTATTTTTATGTAGTGCTAAGGATCAAACCCAGGCCTCACACATACTAGGCAAGTGCTCTACTACTGAGCCCCAGCCCCATCACCTTGAATTTTTAAATTGATTTAGTTTATATGAAATAGTCTTCAGAATGACTAAACAGTTTAAATGTTTTAGAATTTAAGTCTCAAACAGATAAATTAAATTTACTTTTGGGAAAATGGAAAGTTGTTTACTTCTAAATATGTAAACCAGACTTCAAATATTTTTATCAATAAGAGTAATAAACTGTTTTAACTCACTTGTCGTAATTGTGTCAAGTTAAATGATTGTACTGTTCCTTTACAGATTTGGATAAGTGAAGACAGTAATAGCACTGAAGCAGTGAACCAATGGAAAGAAACAATTGCAAATCCAGAAAAGGTTGTTACCAAGTGGCACAAGTTAAATCCATCCTGAAGACTTCACATATTAATTTGGTGAAGAAACAACTTGACATTCTTTTAGAAGACTTAGAATTTTAATTTGCTAAAAATTATAATAAATTTTATCAAATATCCAAAGTGAAGGAAATGCTTTAAAACAGTGCCAGAAGAGACAAAATAAAAGCGTAGTATTATTATGGCAGTTAAATGACTTATAAAGTCTATGAGAACATAAGCCATACATAGGAATTTATGTATTATGTTTTTTGCTTTTGTTTTTTAAGTTTTACCTAGATATTTAAAACCTACTATAACAAGCCCTGTTAGTACTACTAGACATTTAGATGACTATACCTTTGTTCCAGTGCTAGGCATTGTTGATTACATTTTTGTTCCACTGTTTACCTCTTCCTATATATTTTCTCTCAGCAAAAATGAATTGAACCATTTCAGTTGTTTTCTATATTTGGGGGAAGATAGTGCCCTGTGTTTATAATTTATTACCTATAAGGCATTACATTGCTATTTTGTAAACTACTTACTTCCAAGAAACTTCAGAAATAGAAAGTACATTTAGACTAGGATAAACAAAAACACCAAAAGATTGAAGTTTAATTGGAGACCCAAAATTATACATATTTTGCTGTTTCTCACCATTAGATACTTTTGTCTTTGTTTTATTTGGAGTTAAAATAAGGTTATCATCCATATGGCCCATCCTAACTAGCAGAATGAATAAGTTTTAAATAGTAAATATTTTATGATAATCACTTCCTTGCTTTTAGTTTTTTAAGTACAAATTACTTGTTCTGTAATCTATAATGTTAGAGTATTTTGTCATGTTTTTTATAACTATACCTGATAACATTATAGACTCCAACGGAGTCTAAAATTTTCTATTGCAGGTTTCTTTCAGTTGCTTATTAGAACTCAGTGTAAGGGGATAATTTCAGCATAGTTGTCCATATGAACTATGGCCAAAAGCAACAGCTTTTTGGAGAAACAAATAACCCTACTCCTAATTTAGCAAAATATGATTTTATTTTTGCTAGTAAGTAGACTATGTGCTCTGTGTTCTTTGTCTTCCATTTTTCTTTCTTTGTTCCAAACATGTCAAGAGATAGATGGTGATATTTTAGGCCAGAGGTATACCTTTCCATAACCTAAACATTCCCTTTTCATTCTAATTCCTGTGTTCTATGTATCTTATTAAAATTTCCCCAAATAAACACCTAGTTCTCTTGCCTAGATATTATCTCCACAAGCTGCAAAATGTATCAAGTTTATATGCCCTTTGCTTCTGTCTAGATTTTATGGTTCCAGTGGTGTGATAAGTATTCTCTGCCACTGTACATTTTGAAATAAAAATTTTAGATTTGTGAAAAATGGTATTTTAGATAGTACTCACGTTGACTTCTGGAAGAAATTACCCTGCGTGGTAGTATTTTGAATCTTTGAGACAAATGCAGCTAATTTTGATTTTGTCATTTGTTTTTTGTTTTTTGATAGGCTATTTTTAGAGTTGTTTTAGGTTCATAGCAAAATTGAAAAAAGAGGTACAGAGGTTTCCTATACAACCCTCTCCAGTACACAGACATTCACAGATGAGGTACAACCTCTTTACCCTGTCAGCATCCTGCACCAGAATAATACATTTGTTGCAACTGATAAACTTACACTCATACCATTATCACCTAAAATCTATAATTTACATTAGGACTCCCTCCTGGTGTTTTACGTTTTGTAAATTTTAACAAGTGTATAATGACATGTATCATTAGAATCTTTTCAGAGTGGTTTCATTGCCCTAAAAATCCTCTGCAATGCAATATTTTAATAACTATCAAAGAAATAAATGTATTTATTGGCTTTTAGATAATAAATAACAGACTTTCTTGCTTTTAAAAAAAACTAGAATTTTATTTTAGCAATTTTCTGTGTTTTTAATTCCTAAATTTAATATATGTAGTCATGTACTTAACTCAATTTTTAATTATTTAATTGGTAGTATTTAAATATATGTATAATATATGATTTGAGGGAAAAATATGGTTTCTTGGTTTCTTAGGATCCCAAATAAATCATAAAAAGAAAACTTCATTTAAACAAACTTTCAGATAGGAAAGTATTGGTAGAACTAAGACCTCAGATATTCTAATTGGTATTAACTTAAACCTTCCAAAGGTGAAGAGATATTGAATATAGCTGAAATGCTCATTTGATTTCTTGAAGCTTTATGTAGAAATATGAACAGAAACATGCTCTTTCTTAAAAATTTAACCTTTTTAAATTTTTTATTTATTTGTTTATTATGTGGTGCTAAGGATTGAACCCAGTATCTCAGGCAAGTGCTCTACCACTGAACTACAACTCCAGCCCTAGAAATACCGTCTTTCTGTTAACAGCCTCTCATATTGTGAGAAAAACAATAGGAACTGGTAAAAAAAATGAGATACTGTGGAAAAATCACTTCCCTTTCTTTGCTTTTGCTTAGGCTTTTCTTGACCTTTACCCAGCTATAATAAGGAAAAGGAAACCAAAATGATTCTGGGTGATCAAAGGGAACCATGGAAGGATTCATGTTGATAACTGATAATTTAAATGATATAATCCCTAAAATAGTATTTATTTATAAACTTTCACATTAACACAGTTAAGTAACTACAGCCTATGCATGTCAAAATATAGCATCAATACTTGACTTTTAGTTTTGATGATTTTTTAAGCAGAACTTATTGAAAAATGACCAAGAAAGTATGTCAGTTCAAACTCTTAATCAGACTGTTAAGAAACCTGTGGGATTTTGAACATATGTAATTGGTCTGAAAATAACCTAAAGTGAAGTTCTGTTTGAATGTAGTTACATGAATTTTTTGATACCAATGTACTACACAGCCTAGTGAAAACACTTTCCTACCAAAAATTTTCATTGTTTGTTTAATTAAATATTTGCTTATTTATGAAGGATTTTCAATTTTTCATTAAATTTTAACTTTTCTTACCATGGGAATAAGGGGTATTGCACTCAGAAGCACCTAACTACTGAGCCATGTCCCCAGCCCTTTTTATATTTTATTTAGAGACAGGGTCTCACTGAGGCTGACTTTAAACTTGCAATCCTCCTTCCTTAGCTTCCCGAGCTGCTGGAATGACAGGCATGTGCCACTGTGCCCAGCTCAGGAATGGGTATTTCAAAATTATACATCTTTATTAGATATTTGAACTTTTGTTTGGTGTTTCTTCAGGTATACTAAGAAAGGTGCCAGATAAAATATCTGTGTATCTAGTGGTTTTTGAGGAGATTTTCTGATGTTCTTGTTGTATAAGTGTAATTCTTGTTAAGAATTAAAATTTCAAATTCTTTCATTTCTAGGTTAAGCGCTTAGTTGAAAGAATTATGAAAAAAGGGCCCATGTAAAATACCATCTCCATTTTGAAATAAAGATAGATATTAAGGGAGTTAATGTAGCCCTCAAAAACTATATTTTATTTTTTAAGTGGCAACTTCTCTGAAGATAAATCCTGCCTATATTTTTAGTAATTTCTTTATAGAAAAAAATTTAGCTTGTTTTCCTGATTTTAAAATTTTTTCGATTTCTAAAAAGAAACATCTTTAAAAACATTGATCACAGTCTACATTAAATCATAGGATTCTGACAATGGCAGTAGGTATCTAAAAAGGAAGTTTTATATTATATGTCTTCTTGGATGGCAAGAAGGTTGCCAGTTCCATTCTGAGCTAAATCACTGAAGGAGATATGTCTTTAAATGATGGTGATATTTGTTCTGTATTGTTTTTCATATTCTTATCCTGTGGAATTTGTTTCTGGGTCATCCATCATCCTTTAGTTTCTGGGGGAAGAAAATAGATAAAAAATGTCTGCTCTTCATGGTAAGGCTGGATTTATTTTAGCAGAAATAAATTTGACTGGCTGTGGCTCTAAATTGACATTCAGTTTGATATCTGAGTCTTTACTCTTTATTGATTACATAGTATATGGAGTCTTGATCACGAAACAACTACATTTTTAATGAGCAATAAGCTATTTTGTATAATATATAAATATTAAATAATAAATGCTATAAGCCATCATTGTTTATTTTGAGATTTTTATTTTAGTGGGGGAAATTAAACTATACAAAGCTGTGTTATAGTATAAAATAGGATTTGAGGCATGGATAAAATGCTTTGGAGGCTCAAATAAAGTAAGAATTAAATGTAGCTTAAGGAATCAGGAAAGATTTGTTAAATCCCTGACCTGAAACACACAAAACAAGCAGATTGGTAGCACTATTATTCTTGATCACTGACCTTACCTACCTAACAATCTTACTTCATTTCTTTTGTCAACTGACTCACTGAAAAAAAAAAAAAAATTCTTAACTTCCTTCCACTTACTATCCTCTAACCTACCTGCTTTTTTCTTTACTCTTAATAGAAGATCCTCATCTGTCACTGGGACTACAGGCATGTGCCACCCACCCGGATCAAAAATCTTATTTCTTGATGTCAAAGAAAATAAAATTGAATTCCTTCAGTTACCTACTGCCTTATTTATAAGTTTTTTTACCCATATCTGACTTCTTCCTCTTCTTCTTCTTATGTTAAAAAGCAATTCCTTCCTTGTAAATTCTGAATCCAATCATTTTGGCCTTTTTTGAACACTGATTCCATTTATTAAACACATGTTATTCTATTCTCTGAGCCTTTGTTGCTGGATTCTTTGTATCATTATTCAAACCCTGGTGCATGATTACCTCAAAATTGCTTGTTGATATGTTTGATGGAAAGGACCCTATAGACCTAATATTGGTGGTTAGATTACTATATTGACAAAGGAAACTGGAAATTTGCAATTGACTAAATGTTTATGTCTTCCCACCCCAAATTCATATGTTGAAATCCTGACACCCCCCCCCCCCCAAGATGATGGTATTAGATCATTTGGGTGGAGCCCTCACAAATGGGATTAGTACCCTTATTACAAGAGAGCTGAAAGTGATCCCTTGCCCCTCTGTCAGGCTGTGAGGAAGCAGCCTCCACCAGTCTGTGAGAACCTCGATGTTAAAATTCCAGCCTCCAAAATTGGGAGGAATAAATGTTTG